ACAGTATATTCCTCACGCTGTTTTCTTTTCACTCTCGTCAGTGGCCTACTAACCTTGGCTTCACAAGTATGCCAGCTCTGCTGATGGGCTCGGTCCTATAGATTGCCAGCTTCGTTGCAAACTTGCGTCAGTGCGATTTGGTCCGTTCTGTTTGGGAGGAAGACGTTACGTTCCAAATAGAAATACATGACCTCAACCTGGGTGATCGTTTGAGAGTACGTCGGGACTAATCTATTTCTGACTCTCGGATTACTTGAGGATATTCCTTTACAATACTTTTGATTGGTATCTAATACGGATTAGAGTTTATCGCGAGGTCATAGATAGAAATGCATCAAGTTTGCAGCTACAAATAATGACTGCTATCAATCACTTTTATCAAGTCTAGCTGAAAATGGCACACACATATCAATATAAACATTGCAATAACTTAAAGTGCCATAATTCCAAGACCTTAGACTGTGCAGGTCATTTCTTATATTTGAATAGCAGAAATAGAAATGTGTTTTTGACCAGTATCAACAGGAGGACTAACTGCAGAGATCTTGCATAGCTAGCGTGAACATAAGAATGTAGCATTTAGATGGAAAAATCGATAGAAATAATGTAAACCAGTCCTTTAATTTAATTAGATTTTTAGAAGAAGCTCAAACTTGTCCTTATCCTGTGTTTAAAGCCTTTCTTCTTTCTTGTTTTTTGTTCAAATCCCCAAAATTCCAGTATGGTCATGTGACTTAAAGGTTGCTTTAGAATCAGAATCAGATTTATTGTCACGACACATGTTACAAGTACAGAGCAATGAAATTACCAGTTACATCCCATCCAAGAAACATAATAAAGACAGTGACTAATAACAGGGGAGGACAGGAGGGAGAACTGTCTTTAAACAAGTCATCAAACTTTATTTCTGTTGTATTTGTCAAAAGCAAAATCACAAAGACTTCTTCAGGAGAAACTCAAAAAAAAGACAAAGAAAGCAAGCAAGTTTTAGATTTTTTTTCCCAACATGTGGACTGATGTGGCTTCTCTGAGGCTGTGTCCACAAACACCCGGCCCACTCATTCACTACATCCTCCATCATCTGCATTCAGCAGTTCACTTCATCCCGAGCAACACAATCCATTGCGTTGCGGGATGTTTAGCAAAATAGCAGCGTCCGTGTGATCGAGACCGCTTTCTTCGTTTATATAGCGAGAATTTTCGAGGGCATTTCAGAGTGTGTAAATTTCTCTGAAAGACGATTCAAAAATGACTAAAAATATAAAGTGCAGAAAGTGATTTCAGATGTGTGCAAGTAGAGCAGCAGCAGCAGCAGCAGCAAAGCCGTTCACCTTCAGCCTTGACATAGTAAGTCTGTGCGTGTCCTTGTGTTGTTGTTGTTGTGTCCTAAAGACACAGAAAAACATGTCACAAAAACCCAGAGCATGCTTTTAAGTTGACTGAATTATGAAAAGCCTCTGACTCATCAACACACCAGAGGGTTTCCAGCAGTAATGATCCATTTGTGAGACCTAGTGCAGGGCCTACACTTCACAACATGTGGAGGAGAGCCGCTAAGATTTCCTTTGAGCAGTGAATGTGTGCTTTTTTTTTTTTTTGTCAAGATGCGACCGTGTACACTAACTCGGTGCCCCTGTTGTATGTGTTTACTATTGTCGCGGGTAACGGTGTGATCCATCATCCGCAGTGGGTCTCATGGGTGACCTTTTGTGGGAGAGAGGTCTTTTGTTTGATCCGTTTTGTCCGCAGTCACTCTGTGCGAAATAAAATGCATTTGTGTTTTTTTTTCTTTTTTTTTGTCTGCCCACATCTCTTCTCTCTATCAGTGCACCAGCATCTTTAGTAAACAAAGTGCATTCTCTCTTTCAGCTCGGCGAGATGTGTGTTAGTGTGTCGATATTGATTCAGTCAATATCTATGGGCTCCATGTCTTATTTTGTGTGCTGCTTTTTCACTTGTGTGTGTGACTGCTGCATGAATACCTGCATATTTGTGCCATATCTGCTGGAGACTGTGTGTTTACTGTGCATGTACGATCCATTACAATCTGCGAGCGTCTGTATCTGACAGTCTGTGCATGCATGTGTGTGTACAAGTGTGTGCGTACGAGGAACAGTATTCCCTGGGCTGCTAGTTATAATGTTTCTGGGGGTGATGGGGGGAACTTGAAAGCCCTGTGCTGCCCAAATCAAAACTAACAAGGAAATGATGGGGGCTCCTTTATCTCCTCTCTGGCCTGGGGGGCCGAGGGGGGCGAGAACGGGAGACTGGGCAGGGAGAGAAGAAGGAGGAGGAGGAGGGTGAGGGAAGGAGGGAAGGAGGGAGGGGAGGAGGAGGAGGAGGAGGGGGGCAGCCTGGCTTCCTCTTTGATTTGTAAAAAATGCATTACCTCCGAAATCAAACGGAAAATTACTGCGCTGAAGCAAAACACACAGAGCAAGGAGAGAGGGAGAGAAAAGGAGATGGGTGGGGCGGAAGGGAGGGAGGGGGAGAAGACAGTGGATAGGTGTGTGAGAGTGGAAAGGAGGTGGGAAAGAGGAAAGGAGGATTCACCTATATAGATATGCTGCCGGATAGGAAAAGGAAGAATGGGTATAGATTTGAGGTAGTGCGTAGGTGGTATGAGAGGTAGCTGGAGAGACCTGACAGACAGGCGCACATATATATTTTCCTCAGAGGAGATGAAGCCTATACATGCTGTGGACCATGTGAATATGGCAAATGAAAGAGATGATGCAGTATTGATGACCTGTAGCCCACAGGGAAGGAGGAAACTTATAGATTACTACCTCCAACACAAAGAATATCTCATTCTTTAAAGACCAATCTTTGCAGAGGCCGTCAGTCAGATAAATGGGCTGGGTGTCAACATTTTAATGGAAGGACATGCGTTCTGGAATAGTTTCTAATCACGTGAAGATCGATTTGATATTCCGCCGCCACGCCGAACGATCAAAACGGTCTGTTACGAGCTTGTGAAAATCAGAATCTTTGTCTAAAGCTGTTTTTTTTTTCTGAACCATTACGATAACTTTGACTCATTACGGGAAAGTGTGCAGGCAAGAGGCGGCAGGCGGGTGGAAAAAAACAAAAAGAAGATGAAATAAAGGAACCATAACATGAATGAATGCGGAATAAACCGTGAGTGAGATAGGATGAATGCCAACTCTATATTTGAAGACAGAGGGAACGGCTTGAAAACAAGGAGGATGAAGAGCGGGAGGAGAGAGAGCGAGAGGGGCCACAATCCAAAGGCTAGAAGCAGGGTGAGAGTGAACGAGAGACAGATAGAAAGAGAGACTCAGTCAGAGAGTGAGAGAGTGAGAAATGCCTGGAGTTAGCAATAATAATTTATACAAACACACCTTAATAATTCACGTTCCATTTCAATGCTGGAGGGAAAATCCAAAATTCACAGAGCATAATTAAATAGAGGCAGAGAGTGAAGGGAGAGATAGAGAGGCCAGCATTAAAGATACCAGTGTAGCAGCAGGGCATCTCTTCCATCTGAGCTTTGTAAAACAACCCTGATGAAACTGTGATATCCAAACTAGATTCCGTCTCTGTGTTCATCATGGAAACGCTGAAGTCTCCCTCACCCTCTCCCGTCAGCAGATGCCTATATGCATTTATTTAAGAGGCATTATCATGATAAGCTCTTATTTAATAAAGCCAATCCCCGACTCGCACGTACGCAAATCGTTGTACGCGGAAAAGGAGGTAAAGTGATGGAGTGGAAAAAAATCAACAGTTTGTTCTGTGCTTCTGTGCACACCAGTGGTGCTTTCGCTCAGGATCCTCAGGTGTGTTTGTGAGAACAAATGGTATAAAATGGCAGTTGAAACATTTAGAAAGAAAAATATCTGTGCTGTTTTATAGAAATAACAGAGATGTTTTGCATCAGTTCTGACGTATTTTATTTCTTTCTCATATTGAACATGTTTTACTTTTTAATGGTCACATCGTATAACCTGGAGCCAATTTCTTTTTCTTGTTATGTCACATATTATTCAAAAACTCATGTAAAATTGTCAGTGGTGATATAACAACACTTCAGAACAATTTACGGTGTTTGTACTTTACTTGAATATTTTCTGTTATAATGGTATTTGCTTTATATTTCTCCTTTACGACAATCAACGAAGGGTACTTTTGTCATTTTTACAACTCAGACAACACATCAAGACTTTAAACTGAGAGCTTATCAAATATTACGATCTAATTACTCAACAATAAATGAAATTAGCTCCACCTGGACCAGCTACAACAATGCAAATCATTAATAGTAATTATCAAAACTATAACACTTGTACTTGTATTTACCCATAGAGGTGTATTTTACATATCTGAATTGCTACCTGTGTGTAAAAACTATACCTCTTAACTCATCATATGTTAACTGAAAAAAACTCGTCTTATTTTCTATTTACCTAAAACACACAACAAGCAGAGCTATTCCTCTTCTGGGAGACCATTAAACCTAACCCTTAGTAGCCCTTAACATAACTTTGAGATTTTTGACTTACTGTGTAGTTTGTACTTTTAAAAACTCCACCAAGGAATACCCAGACCTTATTATCTATTTAAAAACGTTATTTTTAATGTATAATATAGCTCAGCTTTTAAGTTGGTTTTCAAAAGTGTATTTAATTCCTCCTGTTCATAAATGCACTATAGGGATGTCCACCACGTTGCATCAGACGCGGCCTCAGGTGGACAAGATCACATCCATCAAACACCTTATTTCTACCTAGTACATATGAAACATAACCTTGCTATATTTCACATTGATTCATGGTATCATTTTGAACTCATATTGCGCCTTTAGACCCTTATGCAATACCTTCATTTTCAACAAAGTTTACGGTCTTCAACTTCAACTCACAGCCACAAACCTGCTGGGTAGCCGACAGTAGTTCTCTATTAGGTGTAAAATTACTCCGTTTCCACTCGCAAAAAATCTGTCTTCTCTTTGTTTGTGCATCAGGTGTTGTGGAGGCATGGACTGTAACTGCGTCAGTGATCTGCTGCTCCCCCCGGTGCCCGCCCTCTGGACGCCAGGTCAGTATCATCAAGGTTAGCTGACTGCAATCACAAATATTTATTCAAACCTTTCATTGTTGTATCCAAACTGCTTTACCTTTTTTCTTTTAAATTTAAAAAGTGTAGAGAAATCTTTAATCTTTAAATCCAGTCTACATGTGTAAATTGGGTAAAGCCAGACAGCCAAATCAAGCAAATACAGCTGAGATAAAAGTTGAGAAACATCTTCAGAACTGTGTGTTGAAATCTGTCTCAGATATTCAGTTATTTAAAAAGATTAACCATACACACACACACACATTGCCAAACAAATTGAATCTCTGCTGGTAATTGGTTCTATATCTAATGTTTTTACTAAGCTAGTTAGTGCCAGATTCACTTCGGGATGAGTCAAACAGTTGCTTAACTTTATCCATGATGTGCATACAGTTGGCTGTTAAAATTCAGACCCGAGCAGCATCAATCAGACCTCTCCAAGCGAGCTGTCATCATCCCACTGACCAATCTGTTGAGGCTAGAGGCTATTAGCTCAGACTAACATTGCTCAAGGCACGTGCTGTGATATTAAACACATCATCCCTTACCTCCATCACTCATCAGTCATTCAGACAGCGATCCCCCCCCCCAGCGAGCAGCGGGACAAACGACAAGCCTCATCCTCCCTCTTTTTCCTTCTCCCCCCTCCTTTGCTCAGGGTTTGCCTTCCCAGACTGGGCCTACAAGCCCGAGTCGAGCCCCGGCTCTAGACAGATCCAGCTGTGGCACTTCATCCTGGAGCTGCTGCAGAAGGAGGAGTATCAGGGGGTGATCGCCTGGCAAGGAGATTACGGGGAATTTGTCATCAAGGACCCCGATGAGGTGGCCCGGCTGTGGGGGATAAGGAAATGCAAACCTCACATGAACTACGACAAGCTGAGCAGGGCGCTGAGGTATGTGCTGGTACACGACGCGTTGAATGTCATTCAACAACTCCGATAAATCACAGTGTTTATCACTGCCTCGGTTTACATAAATAGTTTACTCTTGTTGGATTTAATCCTTACTTAACGTCTCCTTTTCCCATGTTGGTAAAAAATGGAAAGATAAAGGTGGGACTTTTCCCGGGGAACATCAATACCCTCAATTTCTCCTTATCGCTGGACATCCTAATGGAAAGTTCACCATTGAACTGCCAAATAAAAAATTCAATAGGGATTTCAAAATTAAGCCCCAGTGCGAAATTGCTTAGACTTCTTTTAGAACAGGGAAACTGCTCACCTCCGAAACTTGGCGAAGGTGATTAAAACAATGCCACACTCCATACCTTCAGCATTTTACACCCTCAACCAAACACACACACACACAATTTTCTTATGCAAATACCCACTACCCCGACTTGCTCCCCCACCCCACCCCCCTCCCTCTGCTTTCCTTTGGCCTCTTGTTAATGGGGGCTGTCGTCAGAGTCTAATTGTTATGAATTGGCTGGGGCCACAATTAGCCTTCTTAATTAGCCTCACTTAATTGCTCAATTAAGGGCCACGGCACAATTGCCACGCAAAGCAAAACATGTACACATCATTGCGCTGGGCTCAGCCACTGTGGATACACGCTGATATGTACATGCTGCTGTGTTTGTTGATATAGTGCGTGTGCATAATGAGGTGCTGCTCACCACTATTTAATGCTGAGGTTGTCTAATGGCTTTTGTATTTGGTGCACCCACCGTAGTCACTTTGAAACAAAGAAATCTAATTCTGTCCGAGATTTAAACTCACATCTCGCGATGATCCATCCACAGGTTTTTTTTGTTTTTTTTTTTTAAATTTGTAACATCCCGCTCCCCCCCCACCTGAGCACTCTTTACCTGGACCAGATGGCTCCATGTTTTTCCTTTAACGCTGATCAACCTGGCATCCTGGCAGATTGTACAATGTGACACCTCTGTGGGTGGCAAAGGAAACTGGCATGACGACGGTTTGACATGCCCAGCGGGAGTCACCGGAGGTCGTTACCATGGAGACTCCGCTTGTTGTCCCACCTCTTTGTAAATGTGCTTTGCTGTTGGAAATGGTGACAGCTCCTCGGTGTCATGTACATTTACATGACAGTTTTAAAGACCAAACTGCTTCTGATTATTCAAACTAAATAGCAGGATGAAGGAAGTTCTTCTGTCACGCTTCTCCTCTGAACATTCTGTCAGTTATTTTTTACTTTGACTAATTTGTGATTTTACTTAATAGAAATACATTTGGTTTTAAGACACCATCATGATAGTCTGTTCATTTATTTTGATGTCTTAAATTTAGAAGATATTATATTATGAGGCTCATATTATTTTTTTTGTCTTGGTCTAATGAAAGGAAATTTTTGTTCTGTATTTTCTGTGTGCTTGGGTTCACAGGAGTTTTGGCTTTTTGATTTTTTTTGTCTGTTAACAGCTGAATAAAATTCCATTCTACAAAACCATATTGTATTGAATCAAGGCAGTCAGACATGAATTGATTCGAGGAAGGAAGAGATGAATAAAAACAGTGGGAAATCAGCATAGCTCTTGCCTCACAGGGCTGAAGTTGTTTACTTATTCTTTTCTTATAGCGATGAAAAATGAAACCTTGATGTGAGCGTTATATTAATCCTTCCCTCCTCTTTTCCTTTTCCTCCTCCTTTTTCCTTTATCCTTTATCACCTCACTCTATCCCTCCATCGATATCCTCTCCTCCTCCTTTGTAGGTATTACTACAACAAGCGTATTTTGCACAAAACCAAAGGGAAGCGTTTCACCTACAAGTTCAACTTCAGTAAGGTGGTGTTGGTGAACTACCCCATCCTGGACATGGCCAACTCGCCCTTTTTTCTGGCCCAGAACCACTTCAATGGGGGCTCTGCCACACCAGACTGCAGCCCAGAGGTACGGAGGGTGAGATGAAGGGCTCGGGAAGAGACACGATTGATGAGAAAGATATATTTGGGTGTATTTTGTCAGATACAAATACATAGTTTGCATTCATTTTTAAAACAAACATATATTTATAGTTTGAGAAATGAAAGTCATACAGAACTGAATTTTAATAATATCCACATTTGTGTGTCCATAGCAGGTAATTATAAAAAGTGGTATTTAAATGCAAAGGAAACAAAAAGAAGAGAAGACAAAAAGAGGAGATCTAGCAAGACTCCTTAATTTTTTATTAACAGTGATTTAATTCAGCTGACTGAAATCTATTTCACTCCTAATGATTTTGCTGTTATATTTCTCAGGCTCCTGCTGTGCATTCCCTTTTTTACAAAAGAAATCCTGGTATTCATCGTATCTATCTTTTATTCACTGTCTCTAATGGTGGTCATAATAGAGTACAATTCACTTATTATTTGCCCTGAGAGATGGTAAAATTTTTACTGAAATAAATTGCATCAGAATACAGGAAGCGCGAACAAAAATGTCCTAATTTGGCTCAGGATTAAAGTTATAACTTCACTCGCGTGTCTGTTTGGGTGCAAAGAAATTTAGATGCATTTTTAAACAACGAACAAATCAATTTAAATGTTTTTTTAGGTTCAATAATGGATGTGGCCTCACAAAAATGTTGAAGGAGACTCTTTTTTTGACTTGAATCTAAGTGCCTGTGTGCACATAATTTTATTTTAGACGGCTAATGTCCCAGAAAGTACACGTAACTTGAAAGTACAGTAAGAGAGATTCATCCATCATTTGTCTGTGCCAACCTTAAGATGGGATAAGGAGGTGCAGACTCTGAAGGAGACCATGGAGGGGGATGGTTTTAACTTGCCCTTAAAACAAAAGAAGACGTGATCCCCTCCTTTTCTCATCCCCGTCTCCGATGGCGTATCCATCTGTCATCGATTGAAAATGAAAGAAATGGAAAGCAAAGGGGTCGCATCAGATCAGATCAATGGCGGGTCATTAATGCGGTTTGTTAAGCAACGCAGATCTCGCAGCTTGGGAGTACAGTCTTGCCTTTCAAACTTGGGAGCTGCACTGTGACAGATACTATTGATCCGCAGTCATGCCAGGGGAAAAAAATCCCCCCTTTGTCCCGTTGATTCCTAAGATTCAACCGTTCCACCTTTTTTTTTTTTTTTTTTTACCTTGTCTCCCTCTCCTTCACATATTCCGGACAGAAAAAAAAAATGCACACACTGATGCACACACGCACAGCTGCCCTACTTCCTGAATAGATGTCATTCTTTCACATCTCACTCCTGTTCGCCCTGTGTCCCTTTACAACAACTGGCCCACAATCCCTCTTTCTCCTTGTCATTTATCCTTTGTGCTTACAATCTTAATCGCTGGTCTCCATTTGACTCTGTACTTTTCCTGCCTTTGAATCTCTGAGCCTCTGCGTCCTCCTACCTCCCGTTTTTACCCCGAGTCCCATAGCGCCACTTTTCATCCTGTCCTTGCTGCGACTGTGTCACTGTTTGCATCACGCTCTGCGGGGTGCTGCTGTCAACATGGGACTTCAGCGCAGCGGCGTCATAAGTGCAGATTTGTTCTCTTTTTAAAATGTTTTTTCATGATACAAACTCATTTTAAAAATTACTTTTTGTGTGTACCCTTCTGTCATTTAGGCCATACAGTCCCTGTTTCCTCGTTTGCCAGACACTGGTAGAGGAACATCCCTGTTTGATCGAGGGACCACGGCACCGGGACCTGAAGGAGACAAACTGAGACTGGATGCGTTCCCTTTTCTCAGTTCAGGTGAGCTGAAGGAATGAGAAAAGTTTGTTTGCCAGTGCAAAATTAGAAACCTTCCAGTGGTCTCCATTAAAAGAAAACACCTTATATATAGAGTGTGTATGAAGTGTATAGGCAGCGTACAGGCAGAAAACAGACCTCAAACAAAGGGAGGAGGAGAAGGTAGAGGGAAAGGAGGAAAGCAGAGAGAGGAATGAGGATATGGGGAGGCATGAACATTTATTGTTAAAGGAAATAAGAGAGATGGCTGTCCCATAGCAGCCTGCAGTGAGGCTGTGCTTCAGGTGAAAGAGGCCAGGTTAGCTTGTGAATTATGCATGCCGGCAGAAGTAAGAAACAAGTTGAAGGCTGGAGAAACCATCCACCTTTTTCAACATGATTGTTCACATTTGTCCTCTTCTATTTGAGCACGCTCGGTGTCAATGAATGCAGCGTGGAATTGTGCGCGCTCGCTTGATTGACAGCGTTGGCGTCGATGCATCTGCTTTTGTTTGTATTTTTGCACACTCTATACAGAATGCATACGGATCTGCAGAGCTCGATAGGTAGTGTGTAAACAGATGTACTCTCTCTCTCTCACACACACACACACACACATGCAGTCCTCATCACACAACATGCACCTCCTCCCTCCTCCCCACTCCGTTTGTCCTCAGGTCCTATTCCCCCCTTCTTCCCTTCTCACCCTCCTCTCCCTCCCATGTGTCCCCGCTGTCCTAATCCCTTCCCAGGCAGGAAGGCCCTAATTGAGGGTGCAGGCTTCAGTTTGTGGCCTGTGGGCGCCCATTACTGTGTTTTCATAAGCAAGTGAGGCCTGCCTGACTGATTCAATATTCATGTGTCTGCCAGCTACTCCTGGCCCAGCACGCAGAGACTTCACCACTGTCAAATTAGCCCTGCATAGTAAATAACGGAGTGAAAGAGGGAGAGAAAGATGAGAGTGAGAAAGACTGGGAGAGGTGGAGGGTGCAGCCGAGAGAGAATCTTTGAGTTGGTTGTCATTTGGAAGGAAGTAGAGTAGGTTGAGAGGCAATGCTTTTGTTTGTTCATTAAAATTGAATCCCAGTATCACCTCAAATTTACCCCCTTTGGTTGTTATCAAATGATGCTTACAAGGAACCGAATTCAAATACAGTGCAATGTTTAATTTGCAGCACTGTGAGCTTTTTTGCTTAATCTAAAATGATACGATGACGTGTCGAGACATTGTGGGGACAAGAGATCGACGTTATTGCTCGGCTCGATTTTTCAACAGTGAGGCTGTCGTCGGTGTGATGATGTGCTGTCAAAACACAGGCAGAGCGTGTTTCTTTTTTTAACATCCCAGAAATAATAATAAGCCACTTAGAAGATGTGCTTGATTACTTTTCACTGCAGTGCAGAATCTTTGTGTCCACATCTGGTTTGCAGCAGTGGGTGTACCATACAGTACTGGCATGCATAAATGAACCATCAGGTTTTTTTTTGTTGAAAGCAGCCGTGCCAGAATTAGCCCCTGTGGCTCCTGATTAGAATTGCTAATACCTCTGACTATAATTAGTGAACATTCTTGGATGTTGTATGTCAGGAAACCTTTGCCCCTTCTCAGAACTAACCTCCATCTCTGGATTTTCTCTGTCCTAGGTGCCCCGTGCTACTCCAAACCTCCGTCCCTGCTGGGCCCGTACCCTCGCAACCCACCCTTTGACTACCCCTGGGGCTTCAACCCCTACCTCCCAGGGGCCTTCTCTCTCAATAACTGCCCCAAACTACCCCCTGGCTCCCTCTACCCCTCCCAGTTTTACCCCAACCCTTTGCAGAGCAGCCTTTCCCAGCTGCCTCACCCATTCTCCTCCCTACTCCCCCCGGGGGATGCCGCTGGGGGCGAGAGGGGAGCGGCGGGGCAAACTGGCGGGACAAACGGCACGGCAGGTGGTCAGCCAGCCAGGATCTGCCTGCCACCCTACCCGGGCAGCCTGTCGCTGGGTCGGACAGACATTGGCAACGGGGCGACGTTGGGGGAAAGGGAGAGGGCGGAGGCCAATCCACCGGGCACGGGGCTGAGTCTGGGGCTGGGAGCGGTCAGCCTCGGAGCCGGGACCGGGACAGGCCAGCAGAGTCCCACGGAGAGGAGAGGAGGGGTGAAGCAGGACCCAGAGTCAGACTCAGACCTGGAGATCACAGATCTGAGCGACTGCAGCTCAGACAACGACAACGAGCACGAATTTGGCATCGGGAAGGAATCCAGCCTGGCGAACCGACCACAGCTCGTGCTGGATGGAAAGAAAGGGAGCGTGCTGCCACCCATCTCCTCTCTCCCCCCAACAGTGTCCCCGCATCCTCTGAAGAGCCTGATGCCCATCACTCCTCCTCCCCCATCTCTGCCTCCGTCGCTTTCCCCCTCCATGGCTTTGCATGAAAGACACAGGGAGACAGAGACCCTCAAAATGATACACAGTTAAGACATTTTCTGATGCATCCACCATCTTGCCAGTCTACGCTCTGATAACTCTCTTCTTCTCTCCTTTCATTTCGCCGAGACGGTTTTTCTGCTTTAAGTGATCCGATATTCCATCACTCTTGATAAATACTTTTTCCAGGGAAGGCAGTTAAGTTCTTTACTTCTGGAACTAGTGTTTCCCTATTTGCTGTGTAAGTTTTTAACTTGCCCGCAGTCCATTACACGACTGACTTGTCCATCTTAGAATACATGGGGCGTACAGTTTTTAGGGTGTCGGCTGTCTGTATCACCATCTTGTCCTTTCTGTTTTGATCTCTCACACCAAATGTTCGCTCCATGCTTTGTAGACTTGTTTTACACGTTGCCAGCAGTACTCTACAATTTGCTGTCTGCAGCTGAGCTATGAAAGAAGGCAGCGAGGTGGTAAATTACAACACAGCAATCCCTGCCTTGACAAACATTAACAAACAACATCCCTATACTAACAGAACAGAACAACAAATAATGCTGAGATCGATCCAATTTTACAGATTTGTCCTGTAATTCTTGAGATTTAGACTATATATATATAATCGCCATGACTTTTGAAACATAGTCGAATACTGCCACCTAGTGGTCATTTCTGTCAACGTCTCCTTCAAGGAAATCCTCCTCATCTCTGCAGTCCTGTGAGTGAAATCGTCGCCACCGAGTTCAATTTGCGCTTTTTAAAAAAAAAAAAAAAAGAATTGTTTCTTGTGGGTTCATTTAAATGCTAACAATCCATATTTTCTAATAGTGTTACCTGTGACAGTCTGTGAATATTTTCTTTGTCCTGTGATTTCCTGCACATTTTCTACTAGGAAAGAAAAAGAGAGCAGAGGGAGCTGGACCAATCTAGAATTTGTATGAATATTTCTCTGTATATATTTTAATATGGTGTACATGACATTTAATTATTATCCACTATGATAAGATTTAGCTGTATTGTTGTGATTTAATTCAATATTTAAACATGTTGGAAAAATTATAAGCGTAGGTGTATCAAAGTTTAAATTATTAATGGCAGAAGATCTGCACTCTGAAGATGTTTTCTATGATGAGGACAGAGTTCACACTGGGAGTTGTCTCTGATTTCCTCAGCCCCAGTTAATTGTGCCCTTTGGTCATTTTTGCCAGATGCCCAGTGTACAAACCCTTTGGGTTCAAAATCATGCCGGTAGACTTATTTTTCTAGTTAGCATTCACCCAGTGTAACTGTACTGTAATTAGTCAAATGTGAATAATATTGGTCTTTGCATTTTCTTTTTTTTTTTTAAATCCTGCCCCCAAAATCTGTTTTGATTATTTTTCAATCAATGCTTTTTGTCTATGCCAGCAGCAGGGCAATTTGGTTTGCTTGAGGACATTAATCAGTGGAAAAAATATTTACAAAAGCTGTTTGTCTTCGCTCTCCCCAAATCTAATGACCAACATCCTTTCTACGGACCAGTTTTCGAGCACCAAGCGAACACGAAACCATACTGTACAGTTTCATAGCCTTTATAGCCTATGGTTTGTCAAACAGTGGCGGTATAAAGATTAGTTGTGAAAGCTCTATTGTAAAGTTAATGTAAAGCTCTATGTTTGTTGAGTTGCTACAGGAAAGGCCTCCAGTCACATCCACCTGGAGTATAACAGCTGTAAATACTGTTTCCTTTGTGTGTGTATGTGTGTGTACACATCCAAAAATGACAATGCAGTGGTTTTACCTGTCATCTTTCTTTGTTTTACTGTAAAGAGGAAAAATGGAAAGTGCAAAAAGAAGAAAAAAGATTAATATCTTCAAAAGCAATAAATATTATTCTGGATAGTGGACTGTTGGTGACTGTGAGTTTGTCGAACGGATTCGCTGTGTGAGAGCAAATCAGGCAGAGGGGATTCATCCGGGAATATTCTGTCATCGCCTTTGAAGCTGATTGCAGCTTTTCCGCCACATGTTCAGTCGATCAGTCTTTGAAACAAAACAGAGACACTGTTTTTACATTTGGGATTCAATTTATTGTAAAAACTCTTCTATCTAACTATTTTATGATTTCATATCAACATTAATATTTTAATTTAGGAAATGTAAATAATGTAGGCATTAATATTTGGTTAATTTAAATGTTGGTTATCAGTCTTTCATAATTCACACCTTAATATAGTAACTGTTGCTACTGAGAGTAATCTGAGTATTTGTGCTGCTGTGGAGAGGATCGCACCGCACTGACACAAACAACTTAGAAATAGTTTGAAAATGTCTCGTATTATCTTATACATTAAAAGTAGAAAGTTTGATGATATTACAGCAAATTGATATGGATTTCTGTCCAAACACTTTGTCCACATTTAATTAGATTTTTTCATAAAATGAAAACATTGATTGAATAATCAGATCAAGTTTGACTAATAAAAGTAATCTACAGACACTTAAGCTGACAATTTCACGCGTGTTTCCAAAAACTGAAAAGCACAAAAACAATCACACACGACGTCAATTTAATTATAATTTATCAAGGCTGTTAATAATGAAAAGATGTCAGCCATAAATGTACCCAATTCCATGTACTTAACACGCTAATTTCCTGCTTTCCTTTTCTTTTCAGCTGACAAGACATAGAGAGCCTTCTGCTGCTAATGATAACAGTAAACAACAGTCCTGTAGAAACTCATTACATGTTGATATACTAATCCATAAAGCCCCAATGAAGAAATCAGAGGCATATTACAGTCACACCGGCACAAGATGTCATGGCCATTCAGACATACGTACACTTTAATACCTAAAAGCTGAGTGTTACAAATCCTGTCAGACTATTTGCAGCTTCTATTTTGTTACTTTAATGTTTCATTATAGGCCGTGGTTTCAGCAGTTCATTCAGAAAAGGTGCTGATAATTTAATTAAAACTGTATTTTTTGTACGTCATCTTTGTTTTCTGTGGGCTTCGTACTGCAAATCTATTTCATTTTATTCATATGGCACCAAATCACAGCATAGCATAATAAATAAGTCATCCTGTAGTAAATAAGGAGAAACTCAACAACCTTCCTTGAGTAAGCTCATATAAACATGGGAAAGTATGGAGGGAAAACTCCAGTAAATAGCAAGTTTGAATGCATATTCAGTGTGTGAAACAGCTTCTTCAGCGGTTCGGTCAGTCAAAACCTGAGTGATGAACATGTCCCCAACACATGATGTTCAAAGCAGAAGCTTCATCGATGGATGAAGCGTGAAAACATCTTAAAACTAAGTTTGGCCATTTTAGACATGTGGTTTGTCTGTAGATAAACCAAATCCTATCAGTTATCATATACACAGTTTCAAAAGCAGCATACAGCAACTGCTCCACCATTGTGACAAATATTCATGTTTATGACCCAAACCATGAGGAAGGAGGACAGAGAACCAAACAGGAAGTGATGAAGTCGTCATCATCAACAGGTAAATGTCCTCCAACCTGCAACCTCTGCAGAATATATATCAGTATGACTTGAAGCTTCAGTCTCAGATATATTATAATACCTGAACTGACTCATATAAACTCTTTGGGAGTTTGTGTTTATTTAACCTTATTCAGGACTTTCATGTTGCCATATGTAGAAGGTCTTTCAGGTTCACTGGACCCTAAGAAAGAATATGTGCAAAATATTTGTTGGTATTCATGATAGACTTTTATACTATTTTAAATAAATGTTCTGATAAGTTGACATATTTTTGGTTCCAAATGCATGACAAATGTCCCTCTCTTTATATTTAAAAACAAACAAAAAATAAAAATAAAAAAAATAAAAAACAATACCTGTCACCTAAACCAAATGGCCTGGAGCCCAAAAGTCCTGAATGGGGTTAATCTGTCCAGAACTTCAGATACAATTGCTGTGCGTTTTTACTTTAACTAGGCAGAAAAGTTGAAAAAACAAAAAGAAAAGAATTATTTAATTAATTTATATTTTTTTTAGTTATTTAAAAAAAAAAAAAGATTAATTAATTTATTTATTCAACTATTCAACTATTAAAAACGTAGGGGTCATGCGGGCTTTACTTTCAACAAACATGGATAAAACATCCCTCAAGTACTAAGAAATCCCGAGTTTTGATTCCCTCCAATGTCATGGAGGCTGATTGTGACAAATCAAGTGAGCAGCCAGTGAAAGCGGATTGTTGTGCAGATTGGCTGGGACCACATCATGACCATGTTTGTCCATGGTGTGGCGCCAGGAGGCTGGAATTAACGTGATCAGGCGAAGAAGTGGAAGTTAGATTTGAGCACTCAGGTCTGTAAACAGTTGTTTTGACTCGTACAAAGACCGATATTCTTCTGACATCTGTGATCTCTTCAGAGTAGCATCATACTGGAGTGTGGTTTATTTACTGGCAGGTATCTGATGGATAAGTTAATTGATGCTCCACACATTAGATCTGGGTTGTTTAGGAGCAATTAAGACGCTCATTTAGAGAGAGAAGCTCATTTTCTGTGCATTACCAATGATGTGATTGAGTGAACAGGCTCTCAGTCCATGACTTGCTAATTATTATTATTGTCAGAATTAGTTTAGTGTTGGGCACCGACAGGTGTTGTTTTGTAAAAATGCACATCATTTATAATCTATTTTATTTTTATTTACAAACCTTGACCTGATATTCATAAGTGCAATGTAAATCATGCAAACACAGCGCTGACTGTAGAGGGGAGTGGGGACGACTTAGTGTGTGACACAGCGCGGAAACAAGTTGTTTGGATGTGTTACTTTTTCAAACAGTCATTGTTAAACTGCAAAACACGCAAAACAAAACAAAAACTTACACTATTGTCAGATTTAATGCACTATCTATTACACTAAACTCGACTATTTTACATTTTCCGACGACAAAGGGCCACTTTCTAATCACCGTTTTTTTTTTTTGGATGTGTACTTCCGCGTACAATTTTTTTTTTTTTTTTTTTTCCCACTGACACACGGCAACTTTCGAACAGGAAACCCATTAGACGCTTCGCCTGTCGTTTTCTCTCTATTTGCGGGTGAGTACATGATTTAAACCTAACGCCGACTATCGTTATAAAGCATATGGACTTTTACGTGTTTGCCTGGTTTGCTTAAATTCGTCTTTGGTATTTTTTTTTTATATATTTCTTTTTTTTCCAAGAGTAATGGCTTATCCCCCCTACAGCCCGAGCAGCAGACGGTAGCGTCCGCATACAGGAATGCTGCTGCTGCACTCGGCTGGCTGCACGGCATGTCGTCTGTTTCTGGATAAAGTTTATAGTCGAGCTTTTTTTTAAAATTCATTTATTTAACATTTTGAGTAATTCCCTGCAGCTGTGGAGCAAAGTCTTGTTTCTTTATGAGTCGCGGGGTAGTTAGCCGTACTTCAGGTAGCAAAAGTTGGAGCGGGTGTAATTTCTGGCATAAAAGGTATCGAGGAGTTTTTACGACTTTTTTTTTCTTTTTTCTTCTTTTTTTTTATCGCACGACAAATCACTTTTATATCCTCAAAGGGAGTTATGTTGTGACATGGGCAGTCAGTGGGATGTTTATAGCTGGCGACCTTGTGAAATTTTTTTTTTTTATCTCCTTTGAAAAAAATATGCTTGTAAAAGTTATCAAATGGTTCTGTCTAATTAGGGAAACTAAGCATATGCAGCCATTTCACCTCATATATGCTCGTTTTCATATTTCAAGTCACCTCCAACATACTGATGCAGGGGTGTACACAGCTAGCAGCACTGTGATTACACTTTTCCTCTTATTTATTTGTCAATTATGTTTTTGGCTCAACATGAAAGAAGGCCTCAATCATGCTACACAATATGAAATGAGTCCCTCCCCTGCTCCCCTTCCTCTCCTCCCCTCCCTCCCCTCTTCCTATACCGCTAATCAGATCAACCTATATAGCGTGGAAGCTTCACTGCAGACAATGTTCAGTAATTAGTGTCTGAAAATAATTGATTACCCATGATGATTTTGCTTTGTCAGACAGAGGACATGGCCTGTGCAGAGAAAAAAAAAAAAAAAAAGCCAAGAGCTTCCGGCGCTCACAGGAAACCTCAATTACTGTAGCTGCAGCAGTCATTACCTAAAGATAACACGGTATGAGTTTGTGCATGCCAGTAAGCCGTCAAGTTTTTTTTTTTTTACATTATTAACCGCTCATCAAAGAGCAGGTTGTCAGGCCGGTTTGTTTTATTCATGCTCTTTCTTTCACTTCTCTGCAGTTTTAGTGCCGTCAAAGCGAACCTACAAGTCCAGGAAATGTTAATAACGATTGCTGAATATTAGAAGACGCTGTGTGTGTGTGTGTTAAGGGCGTTGCAGATGGTGGTTTTGGAGACTGTGACGTGTTCCCAGCCTGCCGCTGCACCCCAGAGGCCCCGTGTGAAGCAGGCCCTGCCACTTCCTGTTACGCTCTGTTAGACTAGAGGAGCCCTGCACTTGTCATCTCTCTCTCTCCCCACGTTTTACAAGTGCAGACTTGTCTGGAGCCCAAAGGCTACCTTCTCTTCCTTTTAAAGGAATGTTGGCTATTTAATCTGAGCTGCTGTGCTGCTCTCTCCCTCCCTGTCTCTCGCTCTCTCTATTGTTATAGGCCTACATAAACTCACCCACATCCACTGCCTCTCAGGGGGTAGGAAGACAAACTCGGATAGTACTACGGTGAGACGTAACAGTTGTTTTTAGCCCCTGTGAGAGATACCCAACAACTGGAATGACGGGTAATGGCACCCGCAGACAAACAGCCGGGGGGTGTCCTAAGGGCCTGGCGTTGTGTTGCTCGCTCTGATGGCAAGCTAATAATTTACTGTAGTCGGGCTCGCACTTCAAAGGAACACAGGTATTCTTCTCTGGCTGCAGTGAGTTTGACGAACAGGCAGCACATAATGAGAGACAGAGCGGACCGGGCTGCTCTTCTCTCGGCGGGTCAGCGGTGAAATCTACTGATTCCTCCTGAAAGAGCTCCATAGGTGAGGCGGGGTGAAGTTGCAGATAAGTGCGTGGAAATCTGCTGTGCTGCACCTGTGGCACAAGTATACCCAAAACCACAGCTGTTCTCCGCATTAAGCAAGGCAGTACGCTTCCGCAGTGCACGAGCAGCTCGCGCCTATGTAATGTATGCGTTGCAGAGATTTGTTAGCTGTTAACAAGGGATCATCCGAGTGTTGGCGTGGCGGATTAACAGAGCCAATATTCTCCATTGTTTTCCTCTTATCTCATATTTTTACTAACTGTATTCATCGATTCGTTTACAGATTAGTACATTAATTTAAACATGCACTGCTCAGATGCTTCTATCTTAAAAATGTAAAATTTGAAAGCTATTCAGCGATTGGGACAACAAAATCCAAAGCATTAGACACATCAATCCAGCCTGAGTCTTCTCCAGCAGATAACTTAAGTCGTAATGGTTTTATATAGAATAGCCCTAACCTGATGGAGTAACTTGTTCACTGTAGTTAATGTTAGTCGAGAGGCTGTAACAGATGCTCACAAATACTGTCTCATCAACTTTATCTGCTTACTGCTGCCCCTAAAATGTATTTATACTCTCATCTGTTTATTTCTATTTGTATTCATACACACACTTCTGGTCAAGAGTAGTCGCTCGTCAGCACTAAAAAAGAAATGTTAAGAGGTCTCTTAATTGAACTAAACATAAATAAAGGCAATTAAAAAAAACTTTGTTAGGGTTTCTATTATTCAAAATTCTGACAGCAAGATTAAAATTTTTTGCTGCGAATGTATATCGGCTCCACATATTGGTTATCGGTCTCCTTAACTGATAATAACTGATATCGACCCTGCGAAAAGAAAAAAAAAAAAAAAACAGTAGTCGGCCCCTATTATTAACTGGGTTAGCGTCAAGCAGACATCCCTATCTGCTTATTGATCTGCTGGGGTTTTCAGATGAATTTTCAGAGAGTGCTGTATAGCAGATAGATTTTACGTGGGTAACTCACATCGAGGTCAGAGAACTTCTTTTGAACAAGATATAAACAGGCTAAACAATGCAAAGACCGACAGCGCTGGAGACTTTTTAAGAGATGTACGTATACAGTTCACAGTCCTTCATTTATCATGTGTGAATTTCTCAGTTCAGACGTTGAGTTTCTGTGTAAAGAAGTCATCTATATTGACTTCTGTCTGAGTTGACAAAGTATTTAACTCAAAACATGAATTCACAAGTTAATATCAGTTTATTGCAAAGCTAAACCATAACAACCACTGTGCAGCATATTCACAGGACAATGATTTTTATGTTAAACTATCTAAAACAGGCAGCTCAGAGTATCCCCTTGCCAGTCTCTTTGCTGTAAAACCAGATAAGGCTCGCTGCTCGCAGTCTGTGTGGTCAAAGCGTGCGAGACGTGTGAGTCATGGGTGTGCAGCAGTGACATCCCCCCACAACTGAATGACCCCATCAGGATCCAAGACGAACGCAATCTCTGTCCAAGTACTTTTACATGCTCTCGCTCTTAATAATGAGAGGATTTCGAGTTGTTGGACCCGGGCCGCTGCTGCGTCTCGTTCCTCACGCTTCGAGAAAAGGTAGAAAATGGAAAGAGTTGCATCCATCTGTCTGAGTGTGAGTCAGAGGGACGGCTCGGAAAGCTGATGTGACAGCGAGCATACGATTTAGAGAGCGAGGAAGCGGAGAATGAGGTCTTTCATTTGAGAGTCGGAGTGGAAAAAGCTGGACTAGACTCCGCAGATGATGTTTACTCTTGAGGAGTGAAAGATGGGGGGGTTTGTTGGTGAGAAAGGTCCTTTGCTAGTCAAGTGAATGTGAGGAGACTGTGTTAGCGCTCGGCCCTTCAAAACAAAAAAGGAATCTTGTGTTTCTCACACTGTTGCAACTACAGTCTTATACTACTGTGGATAAATGATAATGACGTGTTTATCCAAAGCTCATACTTTCCGTAGTCATTTTGAATAACCAACTTTTGTTACCACCACTTATTTTATTTTCCTGCATCTGTGACATTCGGTGCAGATTCAGCTTTGTTGTCTTTGTTCTGATGATTACAAAATCAAGTGGTGTGATCACATACCCACATATCAAGAGTAAAGTTGACAAAGATAAGAGAAGTACAACTCTAGGGGAAGAAAGAGAAGAGGGATCCTACTTTAGGCGTGGATGTACGCGTGTGGTTAGCTGTTATATAAAGAGATGCAGATGTGATGTTTAAGCCTTTCCTGTAAAGTGCGCTGACACGACTAATGTGACATACCCAAAATAATTTACATGCTTCTGTTGATGGATGGAGCCTGTTTGTACAGCTCAATCTATGAGGAGCTAGTTTTAAAACAAGCTCCTGTTTATTGATTGCAGTACTGTTAACTTATTTTTGCAGCTTGTTTTGTTCAAGAGTTCCTAAATAATTCGTTTAATATATCACTTTAAAAAAAAAGAAGACCTGAGACTTCATGGCTGGTCTCTTTAAATACTGTTAAAGTGTTCCTAAATGACTTGGAGGCAGAAACATCAGTCTGCAGATGTTTCGACAGATGATTATTTTGCTAGTTATGGTTCTGATCTGTTGATTTCTTACCTTCAGTATGTAATCACCATGCATTATGAGCGTGATGTCTGTGTGGATGCTGTTGTGACCTCGTCTGTCTGTCGATCGTGCTGCTGCCTGTCTTGGCCAGGGCACTCTTGAAAAACTTTTCCTGGTTAAATAAAGGTTAAAAACAAAACAGCAAATATTCACATTTGCAGTGAATTCATATCATATTTACCTATAAAGTGTGACAAACCTGGCTCTCTGGCTGTCAAGTAGCATTGTGGCTAATGCAGATGCTAGGTTTTGACAAGGAAAAAGAATGTATGGATGGATTCAGTTTCTTTTTCTTTTTTCTTGAACCGCCCATTGACCGCGCCATAGAAGGGTGAGGCTGATTTTTGCAGACATGATTTTGGCGTTAGAGTCTCACACATGAAAAGTCAGCAGCTGTGTTGTTTAACTTTGAGATAAGATATTGATCGTTAAGGACAGAGTTATCCCTTGATGCCTTATTAATC